CCCCAAAACCCCAAAACCCCAAAACCCCAAAACCCCAAAACCCCAAAACCCCAAAACCCCAAGTGGGAGGAGAGGGATTGAAAATGTGGTGTAGGTGAGATTTTGGGAGGGTACATAAGCTGTTATGGATCATTAATTGTAGTATCCCTAATAACTGATATATCAGAGGCAGTCTTAAAAGATTCTTCTAAAGTTCCTGATGTAGTACTAGTTATTGAAAGACTGTAGTCCATATCTTCATGCCTCTTTTTGTGTAGCTGGTGGGCAATACTCCTGACTCCCATTCATAAAAAGATTGTAGGAAAGATTTCTGTAATCGTAAAGTATAAGAAGATGAGGAATGGGTACCAAAATGAATTTGTTTTTAACCATTCAGCTCTGTAGCGATAGAGTATATTCCCCCAAGAATAAGCTATTTATAAACACCCAATACTTACCGAAACTCACCGACCCTTTAACCGTAAATGCAACTGAAATAATGGTGATACTTAAAATAACTTTGAATCTGATCTTCTTCGCCTTATCTTCAAAGAACCGTTTATACTCTTTATACAATTTCCTGCCGATGAAGATAAAAACAAGTGCAATTAACAAGAAAGTAATGCCATAGAACAGTAAAAAGAGTCTCGAAACAATCGACTCGCTCGGCCTAAAAACTCAGACACCAGTTACAAAAATAGCATATGCTAATAAATCTATCGCTAATAGAGATACAAATCAGATATGATGCTTCATCTGCTTCTGCCTCACACCTGTGATGAACTTTTTCATCCTCAGGGTCTGGTATATCCAGTTAAAAAGATAAACAATCATAGCAGTAGTGAATAAGGTTCCAGAAAGCCAATAAACAGATGCTTCCTTTCATCTAGAAGTAAAAACACTTCATTGATCATGTCTCCAATATATCTCTGTGCTGAAGTATGAAACCCTTGCAATTGCTGAGAGGGTCAAGAGCAATAAAAAGATAGTAGTCAGCAACTTCTTAGATTTGAATAGTAAAATGAATTTCGTCGTCCGCCATCACGTCAGGATTACTGTTATTAATGACAACATCAAGAGCAAGCTAACGAATATCTATATTATTGATGAAATATGCTGAAAGTAATGAGGAGAATAAGTATTTATAATGATATAGAGTGAGACCTTCTATTCGAAAGGTATTTGTCTTTTAGTCATGAATGTACGATGATAGAGAGTTCTTCATAAACTAATAAAACATATTAATGGCTATCCCTAGATCAAATCAAACTATAAATCCATCCTCAACCATCAAATTCACATTTTAGAAGAAGAAAACACAAGAAAGAAAATCAAAAATGTTCATTTATACAATTTTTTAAGATCAGAATATCTAGCAGCTGCTGTATGTAACAATCATACCCAAATAATATCTAAAAAACCATTATATCTCTATCCCAATTCAGCTTCAAAATAAAGCTACTGGGCTACTACGGAGCCAAAAAATACTTACCATATAAAAAACTCAATTATCTCTGTCTTCTTCCCTTAGCCCTAGAATAATAGATACAAAAGGTATCGATTCTTCCATGATATTCCCTCAATAAATTTATCAATAATATCTCACCTCTTCGGGGTTTTGGGGTTTTGGGGTTTTGGGGTTTTGGGG